AAAATACAAATAAGAATGAATAAAATGACCTCAACACCCAGGTATCCCACAAGCATTTTTGTGAACACAGTCAGAACAGAAGGAAGGAATTCACTCATTCCACAAATAACTGCAAAGCCTGGCAAACAGGCCACTGATATCCCCGTTAATTCCACAATCCAAGTCCAGTGCAATTACACAATCTGACACAAATTCACTGTGGCATGGCAAAGGGGGAAATCTGAGAAGGTAAATACTTTGCATCATGAAAATCTGTTGTTTGTTTCTGCTTTGGGGCAGTGTTTGTATTATACCGGTAGGTTTACGGTGATCCAAGTTTGGGCTTTAATGTTGGTGGTCCCGAAAGCAACTTTGCACTGTTACAGATGTTTAAGGGTATATAATCCTGTGAGTTCTCATTGCTCTAACCCCCTGTGTTCACTTATTACTTTTATAAGATAATCACATATATGTACTTTTCCACTTATATCCAGAGAGCCAAAGGTAATGTCTAGCAGAAGCTAGCAGGAAGGTTATGGTTAAGGCTGTAGCAAATGTGAGCAGCATAATTCACATTCGCTCACATTCAGCTCACGCCTAATGACAGATGAACTGTTAAATTTAATTTGACTAATTAACAGCAAATGGATCCAAACCTAACCACGGTGGAATGTTTCTCCCCCCAATTAATTTTTAAAACTTAGAAAAATATTCATAACATTTACCATTTTTATGTTGCATGAAACATATTTTTGAACATGCTATTTGGTTGTGTCAAAGTTACCCTGCTAGGAGTTTTCACAGCACATTCTCTCTCTGTGCCACCCTCACTCACATGCATGTCTGTGCCTTTTCATAGTCCTACAGTGAATAAGCTGAGCACAATACTCATGCTTTTCAAAGGTTTTGGCAGCTATTCAAAGAATCCTGGACATCTCCCAAGCAAGGTGAGCTGTCAAGCCCATGTTAGAAAACAGGGCAGATTAATAACCCAATGTTTTAAGCACAAGCAGTGTTATTTACTATTAGAAATATTAAAATGTATTTTAAGATGTGTATTCCAAGGCATCTATGATTTGTGTCATACCCACCCACAATGAAATGATACTTATATATCTAAAAAAAAAACATTCCGTTATTAAACTAAACCTAGGAACAATCATTTATGTCCTAACAATTTCGGGGAAAAAAATATGATTTATGCGCGCAAAATGAAAGTCGCAATTGTAAATCTTGTGACAATTCAGAGATCTGACAATTGCAGGGAAAGAAAATGAAGTAATCTGCCTGTAAGAGCTCCTCAAGCCAGGGGTCAGGTCCTGTTCATGGAAACCATCTGGCTGGGTCCCTCCGAGCCACACCAAACACAAATGATCTTTTAAAAAAAATATCCTATTCATTAATGCATCACAGCTGCAGCGAGCGTTACTTCATTTTTCCATGGCAACATCCTTTCTGTTTCAAGGATCCGATTTCAGTTTTGGTAGCAACGTGTTCCTCCGCCAATACTGAACACATTCATGTGTTAAATAGGAGGAATTATTGCAAATTCCTGAAACAGAATCACCTCCTGCTCAATTCATATTATGTCAAGGCTGGTGAAGGCAGGGTGTCCTGCTTGGGGCGGCCTACGGTTCTAGGAGAAGGCAACAGCACAGCGGTCTGTTCCGAGAGGGGTACCCCCTGATGTGCTCATGCCTGGGTAAACCAGCACAGGTGGGACAACACAGAAACCAAGGCCAGTAGTGAACTTAGTGACCGCTGAAGCCACACCGCAGCTCCCTTACAGCAATTTAAATTAAACTGTGTGTGACCACTACCTCCAAGCAACTCCTGAAAGGTCTGGTCTGTACGCCCTTTCAGTTGTAGAAAAACATGTAACACCCCTGTTCATTTTATGGCTTATTAGAAGATTTTAGAACAGTTCCTGTATGTTTTCGGTCTGAATGCCTTGGTGGCAGTTGCGCAGGAGAAAGAAAAAAAACACAACTGCCATGTTAAAGAGATAAATCACATGAAGTACAGCAAAACTGCAAGTTTTGCTTAAAACAAGAGACGGGTTTATCAGTGTTGTTTTCACTAATACTTCTGTGCTAACAAAACTGAAACATTTTCACCGGGATCATTTTCACTTGACAAAATTGTCCCATTAGCATCTTCTAAAAAGAACATTTAAGAACAGAGAAAGCTGGTTATTAACTACCAATAGAAAAATGTTAATCCTCTTCTCAAGTTTTCAGGAAGTCAGACCAGAAATGCCAACACCATGAGCAGCAATGTTTTTTTTCCTGGCCATAATGCTGCACTTATGACCAACAGACTCTGAGCCTGAGGAGGAGGAAAAGGTAACACAATAACAAGAAACAAGGGACCACTACATTTCTTTCAACTAAATCCAGCGGTGCTCTTTTAATTATGTACTGTAGGACACCTTAAGGACACTATCTTACTACAAGTTTTTTTTTTAATAAAAGAATGGGTGTAAATTGGAAGCACTCTCTGGTTTTATGATGTTTCCGACTAAAGAAAGCTAAAATGAAGAATTTTGGAAATATTTGAAGAAGAAAATACTTAAAAGTAAATTTATATTTTCTTAATGCAGTTAAGTACTGTATACAGACGATTTATCTTCATTTTCATAATACAAAAGGCCTCATTGTTGTTATTAACTAAATGTCATCGCATGACAAACCAGTGTGATACCTTCTCGTCTATCAAACATTATAATTTGTTGGCTATGAACACCTACAGCAGGTCTCTTATCACAGGGCACCCTAAGGTGCAATATTTCATGTCACATAAAATATGATGTTTTACCTCTTTAATAAAATTATGGAGCGCTGCACAATGTCAAAGTATTCAAGGTCTCTGGCATCTCTGGTATTGAAATGTTATACTGCATTCTATAATCACTATGTGTATAATACATAAAATACAGTCAAAGAAACTAAATTATCAGAACAAACTAGTATCAACAAAATCCACAATCTGTAGTTGACCCCTACGGTCACATCAATCAAAGCAGATGAGCAGTCAGAAAGATCCCCTCTCTAGTTTCTCTTTTCAAACTCAAAAGAAGAAAGGAACACACCACATGCAAAAATGAGCACATGCATAGCTTAAGCGAGACCCATTAGGTATTCAGTTTACATCACACTAAAGTAAATTATTGGACTGAAGTCCTTCAATGCCAGGTGTTGGTTTGGTCTGGATTCACCGATATGTCATCAGAACTCTCTCCTAATTACCATGACAGTGTTGTCCCAGAACTGGTGAAAACAGCCACTGCTGCATTTTTCTGCTTCAGCACTGACACACAGTACAAAAATACATTTTTTTAATCCAAAATGTAAACAGTGGGTTAAATTTGGAAAATGAAAAAGTGGTTTTAATGATACCAGAAAGAAAAAAGAGTAATGCATCATGACCTCATCATCATATAATTCATCATATAATTTGTGCAACAATTAATTTTATGTAAAAAAAATTAAAATCACCTAAACTGCAGGCAGAGGTTCTGCTAGGTTGCCAAGGTATGAGGCCAGAAATAAGATGAAAAGCTGCAGGCTACAGTACATGATCATGTCAGCAAGAAAAGCCTGCTGTAAGAACAGGAGGCGATTTTCAGCACTTCATAAGGTACAAAAACAATACTTCTAAGCCATCCGTCTTCCTTATTGAAAAAAGTCAAACCTTAACGCTCATCTACTCTTTTAATTAGTGCATGCTTTCAAAGTGCAGTGCCCGAGATTGAGACCCTGTCATGATTGACTGTTTTTTAATCGTTTTCAGTTCTGGTACAGTCACGCATTTTAACCATGAAGAATGTACTGTAAGTAACTTGTAAAGGTCATGTCATTAACAGTGGCAATTAACTAACAAGGTCTAATTTGTCAAAGAACCCGTTCGATTAAAATATCAAAAGAGTCCAGCTGGAAACAAGCAGCAGCTGACACTGGGATGACAAGAGACAGGAATAGGAAACACGGGATTAGAGTGTTCAACCTGTGAGGTACTCAATGACTTTGAAGGGTATCCCCAGAAATAAGGGGAAAACCACATTAACTCCAAGTCTAAAAGCCTGCAAAATAATTGCTCTTACAAAAAGGATCTCTTCTTTGCTGGTGAAGGTTCTGGTGACCATCAGTTCTGTAAATGAACAGCTGTAATTCTAACAAGTAGAAGATTTCATCTCCACTATCCTGCCGAAATGTTTGTTTTTATGTTTGTAGGGTTTTTTTGGGGAGGGGGCTGAGACTTTTAATGCAGGGAGGTTATTTTTAATGGTGGGGATTAACTGTTCCATTGGACAACAAACAGAAGACATAGAACAATCGCTTTGTTAATTTCGTAGTGATCTTAAAATTAAACTTGCTTCAGCAGTAAACTTAACTACATAATTAAGCAATGTGGAGCAGTGGAACTCATTATGTGTTGTGAAATAATTACAACAATAAAAGGACAAGCAACAAAAAGATATAGAAGTATGAGGTCACTTGCTGGCTCTAATGCAGCAACACGAACAGTAGGTCCAATTAATGTTGTCATCTATTACCTTATGAGGGATGTTTCACATTTTTTTCTTTTGGACAAAATAAATTTAGGCTGTTACCTCATAGGACCCATACAACCAATGCATGTTCTCTTTTTTTAATGAGGTACTTCTGTACTTCTGTACTGTAGGTCTGAACATTTGATTGTTGCCAATAAGGGATGACCTGCAGCTAGGGGGCTGCACTTCAGTGCTAGGTGAAGTGCATGATGAAAAGTGCAGTATGCCAAGTGCTTTGTGATGCAGCGAATTGAAAACTGCTACACAAATGCAAGCAATCATTGATTACTTCTCAGTACTGATTCCCCCCCCCCAACCCAGGGGTGTGCAGGGTAATTCAAACATTTTTGGAGTGTTAGCCTGATTATTTCTACAACGTAAGCAACCATGGAATTCTAAACACTTGAAGGATTATTTCCTCCAAAAGCAAATTTAGGATTCTTCGTCACGGTCTTGAAAAAGAACCTACCTGAAGTGTAAGGCGCTTCACCCCGTCCCAGACCAGCCCAATGAACTCCTTCATTTTCTCCTCCGAGCTTGTCCAGGGCTCTGGTGCTCTTGGCATGACCTTTACGGGCAAGGACAGAGGCCGGGACTCTGAAACACACAGGGCAACAGGACACAGCTGACCAGGGAGGCACCTCACTGCGCAGAACATGTGGAACTCTATGGCAAAAATTTAACTTTTGCAGAGCCGCCTTTAATGTCATCACATCTATTATAGGGGCTCCTAGACATTACACACAGAGGCATCACAGAGCACTGCTGACAACCCGAGCTTCGTATAAAAAAACCGATGTTGCAGAGCTGCACTGCGGTTCGCTGCCATTATTTCTAAACATCTTATTCAGTCACTCTGAAGGTCTTTTCACCTGCTGTCAACTAACCTGAGTGACTATGACAGCCCCAAAATATATTATTGTCATACAAAATACCAATGTCTGATATATCTACAGTAGTTAATCTGTCACAGTTGTATTAAAATAAAAACGCGTGCAGTACATGGTACATTGCAATCCCTTAGCTGCTCAAACGCAGCTCAGTTTTTACATTTCTTACCTCCCCGTTTGCACTTTAAGGAAAATCAGCGCTGGGAAAAGTGAATCATGACAATGCAGAGCCCTGAACAACGACCTGCCATCCGCCCGTCAACTGATAATATCCTATAGGGTTCCAACTACCCAAAGAAGGCTGACAAAGAGTTAACCATGGCTCTTTTTTTAAAAACACTCATTACAAAACTAACAACAGTTCTTTCCACCAGAGAGAGAAAAAAAAAGCTTTTCACCGCTTTAAAAATCGGAATGTTTAACCCATCAAAATGTGAGACGTTCAGATGCAGAGGGACCACGCAACGTCTCTGAAGAGACATTAAAGCGTTCGCAGTGATTTAAAGGTTTGACTCTTCAGCAGCTATCCCAGAGTCGTCGTGAAAAGGTGATGTCACTCATCTTGAGGCACTTTTTAGACCTCTAGCCCCTGAATATCACTTAAACAGTTGCAAGCGTTGCCTTGGTTACCAGTACACTGCGACACGCGCTAATTCTCTAGGCCTGTAGGTAAGCAGGCCGCAGGTGTGGGCTGCCCCCCACCGCAATGACACTCAGACGTGCTCCATAAGGACCGGGAGGAAAGCAGCTGAGCACATAAGACTGTCACCGCTGATGGATCTCATCGTTACAGGGTGAGTAATCTTCCCAGGAACATGAAAAAGTAAAGAGAAATGTGAATCTCTCCAGATGGTTAATTGTTTTGTGTGGAACGCACAGACATTACAGTACTCTTTGCGGCTACAGCAGCGTCTTATGTGGCCCTCCTGTCTAGACTGATGACACGATCCCCGGGGAACACCCGCGCTCCTGCGCCCTGCGGTGGGCTGTACGGGCCGTTCCGCGATCCGCCGCGGCACATCGGCGCGAGGCGCCGGAACAGCCCGTCACAAACCACCTGCTCGGGTTGAAGGTGCGGGGTGCTGCCAAAAATAGCTTCTTACACTCCGAAAGTATGGAGGACAGGAAAAAATGTACAGAGGTGCACAGAAAACGCCAAACGCTGATGGTGAGGTTGAAGTGAACGTTCTCCTTAGGGAAGGTGAGGAAGAAAGGCAGCCCAGCATGCCTGCAGATGCCAGGACATATCCATGGCCTCTGACTTGCACAACCCCTGTCTATCACTGCTGGTCATGCCGCACACAAGAACAGCACTCTCCTCTTCAACCACATCGTGTGGGACAGCTGTTAACTTGTGACCGCGTGACCAGTTTCACCTTATTTTTCCTGAGGAAAAAAAAGCACCATCACAGTAAACGCATACCCTTAAACACCTTGAAGTCCTATCTCATATTTTTACCTGAAAGAAATGTAAACATTGGGTCCATTTGCCACTTAAAGGGTGTCTGGTTTTACTCAAAAAGTACTATGGAAGTACAATCCGAAAAAAGCACACTTATGATGTTTTTAAAGTTCTCGGTTCAGTTGTTACTTAATGACAAACATATTTCGGCAAATGAGACGCATTCAGATCCTCTGGAATGCAATCAAAGTAGGCAAATTCGAAAACCATGGGGAGCTGCAGTAAACATTCCAAACCCAGTAACACAGAAGAAAGCGACTATCCTTTCATACCAATTTCAGACAGATACCTGCAAAAAAAAGATGTTTGCCCCCACACACCATGTGCTGAGTGATGCAAATCTGGAGTTTTGCACCACATTTCACTTCCTTCTGTCATCAAGAATGAGATGTAAGTGACCGAGGAGTGGTACAAATGAAAAAAAAAAGTAAACAATGAAATAGGAATGTGCTTTTTAGCAAAACTCTACTAATTCCAGAATTTATTCCAGAATAAATTATAGAGTGAAATCCCTCTGCTTCCATACTGTTGATGAAGATCCACCACAGCATATGCATATTTCTGCAGTGGCTTAATTTAAGCCCATGGAATGTTAAAAATGATCTTCCCCTGTCTCTACGCTAGTAAAACAGCTGTTACGCTAAGCTAATGCAGAAACACTGTTGGAGAAAAAAAATAATATGTTAACACCATCAATAGGCACTCTGATCACAGATCAAACTGAAGACAAACTGTTGTGCTCAGCATTAGGGAAATAGGCCCATCAAAGGCTCAGAATAGCATTTATGTATCTCTGTTCAAAATCAGCTGTACTACAATACACAGGCTCCCTTACCAAGCATTAGCCCTTTGCTATAAAGATGGTTTTGATTTTTTGTTCAGCAGCGAATAAAAAAATGTAAGAAATAATGACAAATACATTATTTGTATCTGTACAATATGCTCACAAATATTTTTATTTCAAAATCAACTGAGTGAATGTATTAATTTAAATATCTGAAAACCGGTTAAGTTGGTTAATAACGGGTATATCCGCTTGAACTGTCTCTAACAAACCATGGGGAGGGGGTAAATAATGAATTGCTCTTCAGCTTGTAGACTTGACTCAATGTCTCAGGGTATTTTTTTTCCACGTGCAACAGAACGTGCAAAAAAATACCATTAAATTCAAATCAAAGCATGACGACGTGAATTTACCTAGAAGCCACCCGAGTCCATGAATCCAAAATGATCCATCTCCCAGAGAATTTGCATACACAATCTGCCCTGAGAGAACGTGCACATTCTTTTGTTCTTATTTTGCTGAACTCCTGGTATGTTCCTCATTAAGAGTGGTCTATAATAACAGTGAAGTGTTGTATATTGTGTTACAGCTGCACAAAAGGCTGCATCGAGACCTCTAATAACCAGTATACTATTTGTTTTGGATGCAGGTTTGTGTTTGTTTAAACATTTATTCTGCATCATTTGTTAATATTAAAACTGCCAGGAAAACCAGCATCAAACGAAATGTTATGATGTATGACAAGAGTTCTTTCTCTTGTTTCTTTCAGAACTGTGAAGAATTTTCCCTCCTTCCTACCAGCCTCCAGTTTGTGGCTTTGGAACAGAGAGGTGGAGGAAGCGTTCACTAAGAGACTGGAACTGTATGGCTGACCTATGGAAGGAGGAGTGTGTGCCAGCACCCCCACAACTATCTGTGCAGGAAACCAGAAGGGAGGACTGACACCACAGCGGAGGAGCTAGCATGAGTCTCACTAGAGCTGTCAAGGCTGATCTTCGGGCTGCGTCACGATGGCATTTCCCTTCTTGCAGATACACACAGAAAAGTAGCGAAACGTTTCAGCTAAAAAAAAAAAAACGGTTTTAACTTAGTTTCTTTTTCTCTTCACCATGGTTCATTCAGATCTGATTTAACTGGAATGTCCTACAGACTACATGACCTGATTTTTCTAGGGGAGAAGTGAGGAGGCAGGTAACAGCCACTCTTCATCTGCACAGCAAGGTTGCACCCAGTCACTGAGAAGAGATACCGGTGTTCCTCGATTGTTCTCTCGCCAGATTCCCTTTCCAGTCCCATGACCTGAAATGGCGCATTACAGGGCTTGACCTGGGTGATCTCCACCCATCTGCACAGTCCAGCCTACGGAACTACCACAGCCACACAGCCCTGACCTGAGTCACCAAGAAATAATCCCATCAAGGGTGCTAAGACAACTATGAGCAAAATAAAACTGGATCTCAAAAACGTGCCAACAACCCTACGAACTACTAAAGAGGGAAAGCAGGAGTGGAATCAGCAGAAAGTACTGGTATGGTTGCCTTTAATAAAGCCAATAGAAATGAGGTCTTTTTGATAGAGCTAATGTCAGACAGACTCCCTTCGTAATCAAGACGAGAATGAACACATGCCAGAGTGGTTACTGCACCCACTGCACTGCTGCGTCCCAGTAGTCTCTTAAAGAGCAGTTCACTTTGTTATTCTTCTACAGAAGTAAAAACAGAACTTATCTTAACTAGTACCTAAATAGCAGTATCCTTGTAAATTTACTTGTAATGTAAGGAATTCACAAAAACCGCTGGTATTAAATAAACTGTAGTATAGTGGTGAACTACCCATCTTACCTTTTTCTTAAGGGCCCTTCACCATTACCAAGATAAGCTATTTAGACTGTTAAAAACTAAATAAAAAGTTATTCTTCAGATCAATTTCCAGGCAACAATAATTAAATGACTACCACACAGTTATTTCAGTTAAATCTTTGATTGTTTTTTCAATAAACAGCAAGGGTAAGAGAATAGTAACAGCGGTCTGACTCATGAACCGCGAACGCAAGAAAACATCACAGGAATGCCCAATCTTTAAAAAAAAAAAACTCTCACAGTGACAGTGTCCCTTCAAAATCAACATTTATAACTAATCCCTGTCCCCTATGATAAAATGTGATACACAATGCTAATATTTCACAGAGATCTCCCCAGTGGAGGGAGATTAAAGTATGAGTTTCTCAAAAATTGTGCACATTTCCCCAGAGCCAACAGCTAACATTAGCATCCAAAATGATAGGAGTGAGGTCATTATTCAAATAGTTTCTCTTGTATAACTAGACACTCCGGAGGCCTGCAATCTTAACAACCTCTGAGCTAACTTCAGTTTCACAAGAATAATAAAGAAAATAGTTAAGGCAAGCTTTGTTTAGTTAAACGGAACGTAGAACTTTAAAAGAACCCCTGCTTAGGCATTA